CAGTGGCGGGCTGCACAGGCTCCGCGGAAGAGGGGTGTGAAGAGTGACCTGTGCTCGCACACAGGCCCCTTGGTGGCGGCAGCAGCAGCCTTAGCATCTCCCGCCCGTCTTTGGGGTTCGTGCTTTTAGCCGTGGCTCGCGCCCGTCTCTGGAGTTCACGCCTTTAGCTGCGGCTCGCGCCCGTCTCTGGAGTTCCTTTAAGCAGTGCTCTTAAACCCCTCTCCTCGTGCACCAGGAAACAAAGAGGGAAGAAAAAGTCTCTTGCCTCTTCGGCAGGTGCAGACTTTTCCCCGGACTCCCTCCCGGCTAGCCGTGGTGCACTAACCCCTTCAGGCTATGTTCAAGCCGCCAACCCCAGTCCTCTCCCTGCGTTCCGTCCAAAACCGAAACCCGAGCCTCAGCTCACAGCCCTGCCCGCCCCGGCGGGTGAGCAGACAAGCCTCTCGGGCTGGTGAGTGCCGGTCGGCACCGATCCTCTGTGCGGGAATCTCCCCGCTTTGCCCTCCGCACCCGTCGGTGTGCACTCCTCCGTGGTCCCGAAGCTCCCCCCTCCGCCTCCTGCAGTCTGCGCCCGCGAAGGGGCTTCCTAGTGTGTGGAAACTTTTCCTCCTCCACAGCTCCCTCCCACTGGTGCAGGTGCCGTCCTTATTCTTTTGTCTCTGTTTTTTCTTTTTTTCTTTTGCCCTACCCAGGTACGTGGGGAGTTTCTTGCCTTTTGGGAGGTCTGAGATCTTCTGCCAGCCTTCAGTAGGTGTTCTGTAGGAGTTGTTCCAAGTGTAGATGTATTTCTGGTGTATCCGTGGGGAGGAAGGCGATCTCCGCATCTTACTCTTCTGCCATCTTCAAGCCGTACCCCTCTTCATATGGTTTTACCTTACTGTCTAGCAGCATTTTATTTCAATTAGAAAGACTCCATTTGCATTTTTACAAGGAAAGTCTACTGTTAATTATGTCCCTCAGCTTTTGTTTTTCTTGGAATATTTTAATTTCTACTTCATGTTTGAAGGAAATTTTGCCTGATATAGCATTCTTGGTTAACAATTTGTCTTTGAGGACTTTGAATTTATCAATCTACTGCCTTTTGGCCTCCAAAGTTTCTGATGAGATATTGGCTAGTCACCATAGTCAAGATACCTTTTAGGTGATGAATTCCTTCTCTCTTGCTGCTTTCAAGATTCACTTATTATCTTTGGCTTTTAACATCCTGGTTATAATATGTCCTAGTTTAGGTCTCTTTGAGTTTATCCTACTTGGTGTTCACTAAACTTCTTGGTTTTGTAGATTTATGTATTTCATTAAATTGGGCTATTTTAGGTCATTATTTCTTTAAATATCCTTTCTGCCCATTTCTCTCTTTCTGGGGCTTCCACAATGTGTATGCTCATTCACTGGATGATGTCCCAGAAGTTTGTTAAGCTTTGTTCATTTTTCTTCCTTTGTTTTTCTTTCTGTTCCCCCAACTTGATAAATATCAATTATCCTTTCCTCAAGTTTATTTATAATTTTGCCTGTTCATTTCTGGTTTTGAACTCCTGAGGTGAGCTTTTCATTTCAGTTATTGTAATTTTCATCTCCAGGATTTCTTTTTGGCCCTTTCTTTAGTAATTTCTTTTTCATTATCAATATTTCATTTTGTTCCTACATCATTTTTTTCTCTTTATCATTGTCTCCCTTTAGTTGTTAGTGCATCTTTACGGCAGTGGTTTTAAAGGCTTTTTGTAGCAGCCACAAAATCCAGAGTTCCTCAGGAATGGTTTCTCTCTATTTTTTTCCTATGATTGAGCCATATTTTTGTCTATCTTCTTATGCCTTGTGGTATTTGTTGAGAGCTGTACATTTGATTTTTATAATGCTCTAACTCCAGAAATCAGAATTGCCCCTTTGTTAGAGTTTGAATTTTTTTTTTTTTTCGGATTGTTGAAGTATTTCTCTTTACCAGAAACCAGGCTGAGTTTAAAGTTTTAGGTCTTCTCAGTTCTTTTATAAGCCTGTATCTTTCCCTGGACATGCACATAGCTTTCCAAATTCCACTATATGAAGTTGTTTTTAATGACCTAATTCAATGTCTTGCTCCCTAATGGACAAAAAAAGAAAAAAATAGTGCTGATCCTTTAAAACTCCTGGATATTGTTTCTGCTTATGAAGGTTGAAACAACTCTGGCCAACTTCTCTGCCTACACTTCAAGGATCAGAGGCAGTAATCAGCAAACAAAATGCAGAACCCTAATATCTGGAAAATAAGGTCTTTTTTGCCCACAGTGGCTCCACCAATTTACACCAGAAATATAGGCATTTTGCCTGACATGGGGTTGAGTGATGGAGGCTTTGAAGTTGCTTTTAGTCTAAAGGGGTGAAATTTACTAAATTAACCACAGTTCCTAGTCAAGCTGTCCCCTGTGAGTTGTAAGTGCTCAGACAGGCCCCAGAGTTCCAATATAGTTACTTCCTACAGCCTTGGCTAGCACAATTATTTTTTTGGTAGAGAGACAAACAAAATTTGTGCTTCCTATTCTACCCTGCTTTCACCCATAAGCATTGCATTTTAATGCAATTGAAAACTCAATAATTTTCAATAATTTTATGAAAATGCTTTTTGGATTAAATATTTAAATGGGTACTACTTACACAAAATAATTTTAAAGTAACTTCATTATGAATACAAAAATTATTATGACGATTTGTAACTTAAAATTACATTTAATTCTCTATTTTAACTAAAGGTAAGGAGAAAAGGGTGTCCCTGGCAGTTTAAAAGCAACATCACTCAGTTATAACCTAGAATGGTATCAATAAATAATTGTAATTTATAGGAACATCATAGAGTGAACTGCATAAATCTTTCAGTATATTATTATAGTTTTTAACTGTTTAAATAGAAGGATCACTATTTAGGAGTATTTCAGGAATCTAAGCTGTCAGTTCCGGGCTCAAACAGGGCCTGGTCCATGTCCATTAATTAAAAGGAAATAGAGTCCCAAGGCATTGTGTAAATCAAAGCTATATTTTTGAATATCTATTCCCTTATTTTCCATCATGGTAGTTGCAATTTGTGTGTATGCCTCAGATTAAAAAAACAATAAGCACAACAAAACAAGGTTAGATTACATGGAATCCTTAAAATGCAGATACAAAGCCGACTGAAAATTTGACAGTAGTGAATGATTGTTTTAGCTTATTATTTAAAGAAAATTTTGCAATATGTTTTCCTGTTAGTAATGCCAGGTTTAAAACAAGACAGCAATCAAATATCCTGTTTTAACAGTTAGTACCTTTTTTTTTACAGTTCAGTTAAATTGACACTAACATTGCCAATAACATTTCTGACATTTTTAAGCACGCTTTTAAGGAGATCTTCATGGAATTTAAAATAGCTGTCCCTGAAAAAATAAGATTATCTGACCTTCTGAGGAATCTGGGCAAGGGCTGATGCAATCACATTAGACTTCTCTTCTGTGAGGTTTTTGATCATTGACCCCAGAGTAAACACTACAACTGCAACTTTTTTTTTTTTAACATCTTTATTGGAGTATAATTGCTTTACAATGGTGTGTTAGTTTCTGCTTTATAACAAAGTAAATCAGTTATACATATACGTATGTCCCCATATCTCTTCCCTTTTGCATCTGCCTCCCTCCCACCTTCCCTATCCCACACATCTAGGTGGTCACAAAGCACCGAGCTGATCTCCCTGTGCTATGTGGCTGCTTCCCACTAGCTATCTATTTTACGTTTGTTAGTGTATATATGTCCACGCTACTCTCTCACTTTGTCCCAGCTTACCCTTCCCCCTCCCTATATCCTAAAGTCCATTCTCTAGTAGGTCAGTGTCTTTATTCCCATCTTGCCCCTCTTTCTTCATGACCTTTTTTTTTTTTGATTCCGTATGTATGTGTTAGCATACGGTATTTGTTTTTCTCTTTTTGACTTACTTCACTCTGTATGACAGAATCTAGATCCATCCACCTCACTACAAATAACTCAATTTCGTTTCTTTTTATGGCTGAGTAATATTCCATTGTATATATGTGCCACATCTTCTTTATCCATTCATCTGTTGATGGACACTTAGGTTGCTTCCATGTCCTGGCTATTGTAAATAGAGCTGCAATGAACATTTTGGTACATTATTCTTTTTGAATTATGGTTTTCTCAGGGTATATGCCCAGGAGTGGGATTGCTGGATCGTATGGTAGTTCTATTTTTAGTTTTTTAAGGAAGCTCCATACTGTTCTCCATAGTGGCTGTATCAATTTACATTCCCACCAACAGTGCAAGAGGGTTCCCTTTTCTCCACACCCTCTCCAGCATTTATTTTTTGTAGATTTTTTGATGATGGCCATTCTGACCAGTGTGAGATGATATCTCATTGTAGTTTTGATTTGCATTTCTCTAATGATTAGTGATGTTGAGCATTCTTTCATGTGCCTCTTGCCCATCTGTATGTCTTCTTCGGAGAAATGTGTATTTAAGTCTTCTGCCCATTTTTGGATTGGGTTGTTTGTTTTTTTGATATTGAGCTGCATGTGCTGCTTGTAAATTTCAGAGATTAATTCTTTGTCAGTTGCTTCATTTGCAAATATTTTCTCCCATTCTGAGGGTTGTCTTTTCATCTTGTTTATGGTTTATTTGCTGTGCAAAAGCTTTGAAGTTTCATTAGGTCCTGTTTGTTTATTTTTGTTTTTATTTCCACTTCTCCAGGTGGTGGGTCAAAAAGGAACTTGCTGTGATTTATGTCATAGAGTGTTCTGTCTATGTTTTCCTCTAAGAGTTTTATAGTGTCTGGCCTTACATTTAGGTCTTTAATCCATTTTGAGTTTATTTTTGTGCATGGTGTTAGGGAGTGTTCTAATTTCATTCTTTTACATATAGCTGTCCAGTTTTCCCAGCACCACTTATTGAAGAGGCTGTCTTTTCTCCCCTGTATATTCTTGCCTCCTTTATCAAAGGTAAGGTGACCATATGTGTGTGGGTTTATCTCTGGGCTTTCTATCCTGTTCCATTGATCTATATTTCTGTTTTTGTGCCAGTACCATATTGTCTTGATTACTGTAGCTTTGTAGTATAATCTGAAGCCAGGTAGCCTGATTCCTCCAGCTCCGTTTTCTTTCTCAAGATTGCTTTGGCTGTTCAGAGTCTTTTGTGTTTTCAAACAAATTGTGAAATTTTTTGTTCTAGTTCTCTGAAAAATGCCAGTGGTAGTTTGATAGGGATTGCATCAGATCTGTAGATTGTTTTGGGTAGTAGGGTCATTTTCACAATGTTGATTCTTCCAATCCAAGAGCATGGTATGTCTGTCCATCTATTTGTATCATCTTTATTTTCTTTCATCAGTGTCTTATAATTTTCGGCATACAGGTCTTTTGTCTCCTTAGGTAGGTTTATTCCTAGATATTTTATTCTTTTTGTTTCAATAGTAAATGGAAGTGTTTTCTTAATTTCAGTTTCAGATTTTTCATCAGTGTATAGGAATGCCAGAGATTTCTGTGCATTAATTTTGTATCCTGCTACTTTACCAAATTCATTGATTAGCTCTAGTAGTTTTCTGGTAGCATCTTTAGGATTCTCTATGTATAGTATCATGTCATCTGCAAACAGTGACAGCTTTACTTCTTTTCCAATTTGGAGTCCTTTTATTTCTTTTTCTTCTCTGGTTGCTGTGGCTAAAACTTCCAAAACTATGCACAACTCCATTTTTTCCAGAGCTTTGCACAAACTCTTCTAACTCCTGTGAGGGAAACAGTCTTTGTTATATGAAAGTTGATAGTATCAAGAATAAGTCATACACTTTTCTCAAGGTGTCAGAATTATTAGAACATTTCTGTTTTTCATATGTTAACCATTTCAGTGTACAAAATATGACCTGAAATCACTGGTTACTAGACAAATTAAAAATAACTTAAATTGGATGTTCCCTTCAGCATGATAGAGTGGTGTGTGTGTGTGTGTGTGTGTGTTTACAAATTATTGACTACATATTATCTCCTGCCATGTGCAGAGCTCTTTACATGTATCCTTTAACTTAGATATATGGGAATTCTAAGAGATATGTATACATTTGCAAATGAGAAAGCTGTCTCAGTAAGGTTGAGTAAATTGTCCAAGTCTACACAGCAGTAGCTGGCAGAGCCAAATTTCTAAGTTAAGCTTGTTGATTGTAAAGCCAATGACTATATTCAGTACTCTCTATTGCCTTCCAAAACCCTCTCCACAATGTTCCAAATGAAGAACATTTGATCCCTGCTTTAAGTTAAATAGTTCTGGTGCTTCACTTTATATTTAGTTTTGGATGTTAATAAGATTATCATTCATTTTTCTGCTGAATCGCAGTCAGTATAATGACATAAGTTTGGTATATTTACTTTATCCTGTTTTCTAAATTTCAGTTTTCTTTTACTTTGGTTACATTTTCTCTTTGTATAAGCTTCCATAAACACATTTAGAAATGAGGTAGCCATGTAAATTCCTGACTAGATAAGACATGCAGAAAGAACTATAATGAATACTCTGAGGCTGACAGTAATATAATAGAAATATATGACTTTCCATTAAAAATAAAAATATATTTAATCATGCTGAAGTAAAAATGATCCTTTCATCCTATGTTTAACTACTAACAAAACTAAAACTAAGTCAACTAAACAAGAGAAGGAAAAAAATGTATGAGTCTTGAAAGGGAAAGACAGGGAAGAGATTTTTATTAAGGAATTGACTCACATGATTATGGAGTTTGGAAAGTTTAATCTGCAGAATAGGCCATGAGGCTGGAGACTCAGAGAAGAGCCATTGCTCTAGTTCAAGTCTGAAGTCTGTCTACTGGCAGAATTCTTTTTTGCTTGGGAGCATTCAGTCTTTTGTTCTATTCAGGTCTTCAACTAATTGGGTGAGGCTCACCCACATAATAGAGAGCAATTTGTTTACTCAAGGTCCACATATTTAAATGTTAATGTCATCCAAAAATGCCCTCACAGAAACTTCCAGAATGATGTTTGGCTAAATAGCTGGGTGCCTGGCCCAGGCAAGTTGACACATAAAATTAAACATCACACTATATTTTACGTGGATTGACTTAATATGTAAAGCTATCAATCTCTTTAAATTTCTTTTCATTTATGGCATTTTTCTTGATAAATTGGCACATATTTTAAAATTTATATAAAAATTACATTTTCATCAATAATGAATGAACTTTGAAAAAGCAAAGGAAATACTGGAGACTACTTCATCAGATAATAATGGAGAATACAAAATGAAGGCTACTGAATTGCTAACAGACTAAGTGAACCATAGAATAATGTAGTTAGGACAGAAAGAGAGACATGAGTATGTGATAGTCCCGTTTATGCTAAAAATGGTATCACAATTCACTGGGACAATCAGTGAGAAAAATTCATACTGAGTGAATTGTTTATCAGGTAGTAGTATAACAATACATTCATTATTCAGACAAAACAGGGAGATGAATATTTACCTCCTAGCATATATTAATAGAAAAATCTGAATGCATTAAATATATCATGTTTAACTATAATATTATACATTTAAAAATAAAATATAAGAGAATGTCTCTTTAACCTCAGAAAAGATACAAATATTTTAAATGAGACTTTGAAAAGTACAAATCATAAGGTATTAAAGGATGGATTTGATTACATCAAATTTGGCAGTTTATGCTTAAAAAAGGAAATTAGAGGTAATATTAACAAATACATGAAGCCATAGGAGAAGATATTTGCAATGGCTAGATCAAGGATTAATACCTAAATATTCTATGCTATGGAAAGAATTTGTATTTCTTGCAAAAATGTTAGAATATCCAAAATAATGTACTAAGTATATGAGTTTCAAAGAGGGAAAATAAGAATAATAAGTTTCTGAAAAGATGTTCAGCTTTGCTATTACAGAGAATACAAATAAAATTCAGCAATGTAATATCACTTTACCTCTTTGAAACTGACAAATAGAATAGTATCAAGGTGTAGATAAAATGTGGAAGATGTGACCACCTATGCACTCCTGATGAAACAACACATTTGTAGAGATATTCAGTGAAATTAAATGTACAACACAATTAAATATGCCAATAACCCATCATACTATAATTTAATCCCACTATTGGATATAGATCTCAAATATATGCCTAGCTTTGCAAATTTTCCTCCTAATATTCTCCGTTGTAGGATGGAGATGGGGACACCTAATTATCCTTTGTGAGGAATAAATAAAATGTGATAAATACATAAACCAAAACTCTGCAACTCTCACAATGAATTAAATGGATTTACAAATAGAAACTTGGATATATTTGAAAAAAATCATAGAGTAATAAGAAAAAGAAAATGTGAATTATAGTATAAAACAATTTATGTAATTATAAAACTCAAATCAATACTATATATAGTTTGAAGATCCACAGTATCTGTGTAAATTGAAGTGAGATGATAAATATTAAATGCATTTGACTGGGTGCCTACTGGTTGTGGGGTAATGAAAAAAAAGAAGATAAAGAAAAAAAATGTAAGAAAATAAATCAAAAGAGATGTCAGCTATGGGCTGATTATCATATGGAATGAATTGCGAGAATGATTAATACATTCTGAGGCTCTGAAATTAAAAAAAGAAAACCCCAAATTCCATAATTCCACAAACTTACATTTTGGCATTCAAAATCAAATTGACACCTTTTTCATGTTGTAATGGAATCTGAATACATGTATCATATTGAAAATTCTATAATAGATCATGTGACAAATAGTGCTACTGACACAAACATTATTGAGTAATAATATATTTTGAAGTGATAATTTTAAGGTTTAGATTGTGATTCAATGTCAGTTTGAGATAAGTAGTTCTTGTCCTGTGTGGATAAGTATTATTGTTGGAATTAGGCTGGTGATAAAAGCATATGAGATTGTTGTTTTACACAGGATGGATATATATTACTTTTGTAAATACTTGAGTTTATAATTGTAATTGTTATTATAATTGGAATTGTTAATATGAATAGTGTGACTAGTGTGAAGGAGGTAAATAAGTTTATTACTTTTATTTGGAGGGAAATTTTTCACTCCTCTCTCCAACCTTTTCCTACATCTTCCTTACAGGGAAAAGATGAAAGTCTGAGTCTTACTGCAGATCCCTAGTTGGGTCACATTCCTTAGAGGATTGTTGTGCAGAGTGTTATAAGAACACACATACATGATTAACTGTGACTCTCCCTCTACTTCTTCAGTAGATGGGGCTAAAAGTTTAAGAAGAAAAGACCCTGTTCCAAAGATGGGTCTTCAATACTGCTTTTTCCTTTTAATGTTTACATTGATCTGATTAATTTGACATAGTTGCCTGACATTGATATGATTTTGGCTCAAGGGTAGAAGCAGCTGTGTACACTTTGAGTTTAACCAAATGATCCAGGCTAATTTACCAGAGAGCTCTGCATAGGGATTAAGGCACAAATGTAGTTAACAAAGGGCTCGCACTTATATATCATCTGTCATTATACATACTCTAACTCAGAAACAGAACACAAATGTGGTTATTGTTTGTGGAAATGTTCAAGTTTTACACTTTCTCCCATCATATTCCTTTCTATCAGAGCCTCAAACCTCACGACTACTTTACTTGTCACTCTCTTTATGTGTTAATTTGATCATTCACATCGACTCGTATTTGTATGTAAACGTAGATACAGTGTACTTTAGTATATGCTTTGTTTTTTTAAAGATTTATTTATTTAATTTTATTTTTGGCTGCATTAGGTCTTAGTGGCAGCACGTGGGATCTTCATTGAGGCATGCAGGATCTTTCCTTGCAGTACGCGGGCTCTTCGTTGGGGCATGCGGGCTTCTCTCTAGTTATGGTGTGTGGGTTTTCTCTCTCTAGTTGTGGCACGTGGGCTCCAGAGTGCATGGGCTCTGTAGTGTGCTGCACAGCAGGCTCTCTAGTTGAGGCGCGCAGGTCAGTAGTTGTGGTGCGCAGGTTTAGTTGCCCTGCGGCATGTGGGATCTTAGTTCCCTGACCAGGATCAAACCCGCGTCCCCTGCACCTTTAAGGCGGATTCTTTACCACTGGACCACGAGGGAGGTCCATAGTATCCGCTTTTTATAGTTAGGGATACCATTGAAAATCTTCTGGAAATATTCTAATACCAAAATTAATCATGTGAATTATCCAAACAATTAAATGTTATGAAAATTCTTGCTATATTAAAGAACCCCCTTACAGCTGTCATAAACTTAGGAATCATTTTTTTTTCATGAGTGTGAGAGCATGTCATTATTGAACTGCAGAGATGTGATTGTGCTTTTGTAGTGTCCCCAGGGCCCTAGTGTTTTCTGATGGGTGGAGACAGGGGAAATAAGATCCATTGGAAATACTTCAAAGCTCTTACACTTTCTGGACATCCTTAAAGTTCATACAAAAGAAATCAGTTAGATCCTTGGTGACATATAGTTGGTAAAATAAATAAATGCACAAATTCACACAAACACACATTATATATATATGTATGTGTGTTACTGGGTCAATAATAAGGCAATAGGAGAATTCTGAATATTTCTGAATTATTAAATATAGCAAATATACTTATAAGTAAGTCTCACACTATCCCAACAGGGCATAGACCTTTTATCAAAAATTATGAAATAAAATAAAAAAGGCTCAGAATATTTAAGTGATTACTTTCTGAGCAGAAACAATGGCTTAGAACAAAGTAGAATGGATATCCAATATCATTTAACTTGTCAAAATATTAATGTACATATTCATATAACAGGATAAAGTAAAAATTTCTGTTACATGATTTAAAAATTCCCCCAAATTCTCAACCTCTTCAATGAGTATTCCATATATTTCCTGACCTTACCTGAAACTCAGGTCTTGCCCTATAATCCTTTAAGTATGCTCAATCGTTCTACCCTACCTACATCAAACAGGGTCCAGACAGAGTCTTAATATGTGTCCTGCTTTCTTTTGACTGACATTTCCAACTGTTTCATTTTCTCTGCTTTTAAAAAATATCCTTATCTTTATGTCTTTACTCTGTACTGTCAACTACTCATGTTCTCTAATGCCAACTGTCAGGGTGACAGGTGCAACACCTGTTCACACAAGCCTTAGACATTTGGATTATAGTCTCCTGTTCCACCCCAATTTCTGTTTTTTAACTCTGGGTGGTGTAATGTTTACAATAAACAGCCAATACAAAGTCATGTCTTCTTATTCCTTGACATCCCTAATTTAAAACCACTTCTTATGGAAAAGGCAAAACTATGGAGGAAGTAAAAATAGTGATTTCTAAAGATTTAGGGGCAGGGAAGGATGAAGAAGTGGAGCACAGAGGATTTTTAGGAGAGTGGAGAGTCTGTATGAGAGTATAAGGGTAGGTAACATGTCATTATACGTTTATCAAAAGATGGAATGTACAACACACAGAGTAAATCTTACTGTAAACCATGGACATTTGTTGATATTCATGTGGATGTTGGTTCATAAAGTGTAACAAATGTACTGCAGGAATGTGGGATATTGATGGTGAGGGAAGCTGTGTATGGGAGGGGGCTAGAAATAGGTGGGGACCCTCTGTATTTTGTGCTCAGCTTTGCTGTGAATATAAATGCCTCTAAAAATAGTCAATTAGTTTAAAAATAAACCCCACAAATACTGCTAGACCTGTCCTCTGAGATTGAAACAATGTATTTTATAGCTACTTGCTAGACACTGCATTGTATCTTATTCAGCATACCCATATATGAAACGATCATTTTCCCTCACAACTGCTCCCATTTACTTCACCTTTGTAAATGACAATATTCACTACTAAATTGCCCATATAAAAAAATAATAATAATACATAAGTAAAGGGCTGACATATACAAAGAAACAAAAGCCAAGGATTAATTCTGGCACTCTCTCTTTTAATCTCCACCCTCAGCCTATCAGAAAATCCTATTGACTTTCTTTGTAAATACTTCCTAAATCTCTCCATTTATATTCAAAATTGCTATCATATTGAAGTTTGGATCCTTATAATGACTTTCAGGAACTATTGCAACTGTATCTCAGCCCATTTCCCTGCTTTAAATCTTGCTCCATTCCAAACAATTCAATAGTCAAAATTTATGAAAGGGGACGCTATATCACATTACTGCTTACAAATTATATGTTGATCCTCAACAACCTTAAATTTGAAGTGAAGAATACTTAGCATTGTCCCTTTGTTTTTTCATAACCTATCCTCCGATCATGTCTCCAGTCTAATTTCTCTCCTCTTTTCAAATCAAACAGGTCATCATTACTGAATTTCTGCCAGAATTTTACTGGGCCATCTCATTTCTATTAGATCTTTTATCAAAGTATTATAATTTCCCCACTATTGTCCATGTCTTAGACAAGATTATGCTAAATAACATGCAATTCCAAAATCTCAGTGGCTTAAAACAACAGCTTATTTCTTTCCCATGCCATATGTCCATCTAGTGAGCTGCAACTGTTACATATATTGTTTAACTAGGATTCAGGTTGACAGAGTAGCCACTCTGGAACACACCCCATTGACATTACAGAAAAGAGAACTCTGGAGTAAGTGCACCTGACAGTTAAGTGTTGGACCTGGAAGTGATACATGACACTTCAGCTCATACTCATTGCCTGGAGAGTATTGAACAATTTGCACCAAACTCAGGGGCTAGGGATTTTATTGTTGTCAAATATCTGGCATATTTGGTGAACATCATTAATGATTACCATGATAATGTTATTAATACTATGGTATTATAATACTCCAAGTGGATAATTCCCATTAATTCCTATGTCCAAGTTTTCAGATTGAAGATCAAATACTAAAAATAATAAACTAGAAATCATTCCAAGAGGTAAACACTCAAAGAGGCAATAATAAATACATTTAATTATCTTTAGCAGGGGCTTTGCAGGCTTGCAGTGCAGTCCTCCAACAAATTCAAAATTAGGTAGTAAGGGTGAAGAAATTCAAAATCTCGGTAAGTTCGAATCAACCACATTTCAGCTTTCCCCATAATCTCACATAATGTGGTAGGTTTTCCTGAATAAAAATAAAGAATGATAGAGGGGGAAAAAATGATATATGAGATGGGAAATGTTTTACCATCAAATTTTCTAAGAAAAATCTTTAAAGAACCAGTATTGGTCCCATGTAACTATTGCCTTTTCCCTGCAAGAGTACACAATAGTGAGATTATGAAGAATCAGACACAGATTTAAGTATGGAACAAAGTCAAAAGCCTGCTGCTTTCTCTGTCAACAGACTCTTTCAGCTTGAGCTAAGTCTGAGCCCTACTCCATGCTCAGAATCAGCACGTGCTCTGAGCAATGAGCAAGAAATTCAGCCAGTGATCCCAGCCTACTATGGTAGAGTCTCCTCCTCTTCTGGAATTCCAATTTATCTCATCCTCATTGCTCCAAAAGAATTTGATATCTTTAAAAATGAGCTTTTGTAATTGATCCATCTTTTTTTTTTCTGGTGTTTGGGAGTTTGCTGCCACAACTAACTATATCCTATCAGGACTGAAATCTTTTAATAAATATTTAAAAGTGATTATCTCCTTTGCTATCCATAATTATAGTTCCTGTTTCACAAGATCTTGTCCTCTTTGGTGAAGATATAGCACTTCATAATAATCTGGTGATGTATTAGTTGTTATTTTGACATATTTAGCGGACAAACACTACAAAAGGGGTACCTTTCAACTGAAGTGGCGACCAAGTGAATATTAACAGAATAAGAAATAAAATTATTGACTCTGATTAAATTATTTTTCTTAATTTTGAACCAGAGCCTCCTTTCTGAATTCTATTCAATTACTGTGGTGTAAGGGACCTTACCCAGCATTTTGGTGTCCTTTCGAAATATGTGCTCTATATCACTAATAGGAGGAAACCATTGCTATCTGGTTTCTCACCACATGGCTTTTTGAATAATCTCCTTGATGTTCTAAGTGTGTTAAAGTTTGATTAGAAAATGTAAGCGATTTTGAACTGCCAGGAAGATCTATCTGCATAAGATCACAAGAAAATCTCATTAATTTAGGTTTTGATTCTGGTAATGCCAAAGGTATTCAAAATCCAGTTTCATACTCAGTATGTATCCCATTTCACTGCCTTATTGGTGTCAGCCATGAGTATAATATTATTCTCTTTGTGAAATGTTTCACTCTCATACCCTTTCATAAAAGTTTCATTGAGATATATTTTAAATACAATCAAGTCTTCCTTTTAAATAAATTACAGTGTAGTTTTTGGTATATTTATAATGTTGTGAAACAATCACCACTATTAAATTTTAGAAAATCATTAATCCCCAAAGAAATCCTGTATCCATTTAGAACAGATAGTCGATAAAAGGAAAAGGGAAGCAGTTATAAAACAAGAGATCACAACTATAAAGGAAAATTTTAATTTTTCAGGAATAAACTAATTTTTTAGTAATGATGCATTACTAGAGATATTTCTGTCAAAAACAGTAACAAAGAAAACAATTTTAAAATTCACATGAAACTGAAAAAGACCCCAAATAACCAAAGAAATCCTGAGAAAAAAGACCAATATGCAGGCATCACAGTTTCTGATTTCAAGCAAGATTATAAAGCAATAGTAGTCAAAACAATTTGGTACAGGCATAAAAACAGACACATGGACCAATGGAACAGAATCAAGAGCCCAGAAATAAACCCATGCATATTTGATCAACTAATATTTCACAAAGGAGCCAAAACAACTCAATGGAAAATGACAGTTTTAAACAATTCTTGCTGAAAAAAATGGATATTCATGTGCAAAGGAATGAAACTAGACTCCAATCTTGCTCCACAAAAATTAGCTGGAAATAGATTAAAGATGTCAATGTAAGACCTGAAACCAAAAAATTTCTAGAAGAAAACATGACAGAAAATTTTCTTGACAGAGGTCTTGACAATGATTTTTAAAATATGACACAAAAGCATAAAAAACAAAATTAAAAATAAATAAGTGGGACTACTTCAAACTAAAATGACTATGCACAGCAAAAGAAATGATCAACAAAATGAGAATGCGACCTATGAAATAAGAGACATTATTCTCAAACCATATATTGGATACAGGGTTGCCATCCAAAATCTCTAAGGAATTCATACAATTCAGTACAAAAAATAATAATAATTCAATTAAAAATTGAGCAAAGGACCTGAATAGACATTTTTCCAAAGAAGCTATTCAAATAGGTAGCAAATATATAAAAATGTGCTCACCATTGCTAATCATCAGGGAAATGCAAATTAAAACCACGGTGAGATATCACCTCACACCTATTAGCATGGCTATCATGAAAAGACAAGAGATAACAAATGCTGGGGAGGATCTGGAGAAAGGGGAGCCTTTGTGCACTGTTGGTGGGAATGTAATTTGTGTAAAACTATGGAAAACAGTTTGGAGATTCCTCAAAAAATTAAAAATAAAACTACTATGGCACTCCATGTTCACTGCAAGTTTGGAGCATTATACAGTAGCCAAACTATGGAAGCAATCTGCATGTTTTTCAATGGGTGAATGGATAAAGAAAATATGATTATATATACCATGGAATATTATTAAGTCATGAGAAAAAAGGACAACCTGTCATTTGCCTCAACAGATGGAACTTGAGGAAATCATGGTAAGTGAATTAGGTCAGACAGAGAAAGACAAATCCTATTTGATATCACTTAAATGTGGAATCTAAAAAGAAAACAAAACAAAAAAGAAAATGAACTCATAGAACCAGAGAACAGATTGGTGGTTGCCAGATGCCGGGGCTGGAAGATGGGCACAATAGGTAGGTGAAGGTGGTGAAAGGGTACGAAATTGCAGTTATAAAATAAGTCAGTCCTGTGGCTGTGATATACAGCATGGTGACTATAGTTAATAATACTGTATTGTATATACGAAATGTGCTAAGAGAGTAGATCTTAAAAGTTCTCATCTCAAAATAAAAAAAACTACATTCAGTGATGAGTGTTAACAAGTTCTTATGGTGTTCAATATGTACAAATATAAAACCATTATGTTGTATACCTGTGATAAAAGGAAATGATTTTAAGGCAGGACAAGAAAAATTTAACATAAAATTTTCTCTTCCATTTGAGCCACTACCCCACCCCCCCCTTTAGTGTATCTGCATTCTACATTAACTAGGTCCCCTTAGAAGACACAAGAGTGCCTACTCAACCACCACCACCACCACAACAAAAAAACCAATTTCCTCCTGGTGCCAGCAAGGTAGCTCCTTAGGAGATAAAATTCCTTCCTTAATCCCTTAAGGGATCACAGTAACCCACTACTCGCCTTCTCGACCTATGTAAACTGTCAGTATATTACTTTGATGTATAACATTTTGGCTCAAAAACTTGTACAACGGTGCTTTGACTTCTAATGGGGAGAACATTCCTCAGAGCTTTATGAAAAATTGTCTCCTGGATTATAATCCTCACGTTGGCTCGAATACAATTTTCCAGTTTTTTGTAGACTGACTATTGATTAATTTTTGTAGATCCCTGAAATGAATGCAATGTTACATGTTAATTATATCTCAAGAAATCTAAATAATGTAAGTAGGGTAGGGCTTCCTCAAAAATAAATAATGTCTTATGCAAAAATCATCCATGACACAAATAAATGAATTCTTTTCAAATAAAAAAAATCAAAAGGAAAAACAAAGGGGCTAAACAGACTTGCTTAAACAGAGAAAAACTTTGTGCTCAGAGTAAAAGCTCACTAGTTGACCTCTAATGCAATTTAAAATAGAACAACAGCAACAATAAAATAATAGCTTAAAAGTTTAGAAACATGGTCCTTTAGGGAAAAATATTCCTTTTTTCTCCTTTTGAAAACAAGAGCAGATGAAATGAAGCTACATTTATTTATTTATTTTCTAGTTTCATGCTCACCACATGCCAAGCTCTGCAACCAACTAACCAAGCCCTGATAGAATGCAAACAGAAAGCCTGAGAAACAGCTGTTAATCAGAAAGAAAACAGGCTGTGTACCAGAAGTAAACAAGAGAGTAGTCCAAGGTTATGGAAATTAAGCACAGTGTCAGATTTGGGTTTTCCAGTTACTTCAAAAAAACCTAGGGGCATCGGTCAGGATTTATGCATAGATATATAGAATATTGCTTCTTTGATATATTGTCAGTACTCAATCATATAAAACAAAACAAAAAAGAGAAAAAAAGGAAAAAAAGAAAAAAAAAGAGAAAAGAAAGAAAAAATTATTATTTTTTCATTCAATACAGTTAAGCAAGAGGAGCTTGGGTTCTCTCTTAAAAACACTTTTTTGTAAGTTTTCATACAGTCAGATAAATATTTACATTTTACATATGAAATTAGAATCATTACATGCACATTCCTCTTACCTAAAACCTTGCTGTAATACTTATCCCATTCCAGAAATATATCATATGAATATAACATTTCACTCATTGCATAGAAAAACCAATTCTTCAGCTTCTGTATAAAAGTCACGTTGTCTGTCAGTACTGATGTGATGCCAGGAACATATGAAGAAGGTATAAGATGCTCAGCACACAATCTCTCAATGACATTCCCATAAGAAAACCAAAAAGAATATATAAATGGGATATTGAGGAGTTCAGCCACTGATTCCCCACAAAAGCTTAAAGGGTCATCAATACAGATATCAAACTTAGCTGCCTGTAGCCTGTTGAGTAACTCCTTGTTTGTGATAGCACTGTCACATACTCATTTGTCTGATGTTAATAAACTGATGATCATTTTTGTTAGTTTTTCTTGCACGTCCCACCATGAAAGTTTCGGCACTTCAAAAGAAATTGTATAGAGACCAGTATCAAATTCTTCCATGAAAGCTTCTTTAGTTACTGGAAGTTGGATGATCTCCACATTGAAGGGAATCTTGGTATGATCCAGCAGAAGGCTTCCTGAAGGTACCAGGATGGTTATCTCATGTGTGTGAAGGAGGAGTTCTTCTAGAATAACTTTTAAATTAATCCAGTAACTAAAATCCTCAGGCCATACAAGTACTTTCCCAGTCCTTCCAGAGTCAAAGAGACATAGATGCAGCCTGAAAAGGACACAGAAGCCTTTCACAGTCTTCATGATTAACTCTTGCTCAAACTAAATCTTATCCATTTTATTTTATTTTATAGTAGGCTGGGTTGAACTTTGAATTGTGTACTTGTAAATCAACCATATGTCAATTAAAAAATAAATTAATTAATTTAAAAGAAAATGATTAAAATGCAATGCAACTGCTGTGATGGAAAAAAAGTCAATGAAGTCAATAATATATTAAGGAAAAAAAAAAACAAGTGAGAATTTCCAAACTTCTTTTGGATGATATCAAAATAAAGAGGCTTAAAGTTAAAGACAAATCCATAATAATTTCTTGGTAATGTTAAAAAAATCCATCATCATGTGATGCATACTCAATTAAAACTAGATATTTTGGAATTTTTCTCTGGTTTTCTTTGAATGTCCATTTGAAAAGAGTGGTCTCTCTAGTATTTCTCTTACTGATAATTATGCTAGATATTCTACATAGGAAAGAGACAAACACTTACTGCCAGAAAAATAAAATATGTCGAGTTTAAGAGCTGTTAAGGCAAGGAGAATTTAATATAAATATTCTGATGCTAAATAAAGTGCCAGTTTGGCTATATCACAGCTATCTTTAAGAAAAATATCTTTTTACTATTACTGTGGATATGAGTCAAGTTCTGATTCTAGGTGAGATTAATGTTATGTTGTGAAGAGATAACTTAGAATGGAGAAGGTAAATCATGAATAGGACATCTTGATTATCTTATGCTTCCTTCTAGTGTATCCACTTCTCTTTTCTTTGCTTTCTTGTTCTAAGATTCTTCTTATAGTGTAAAATTCCCTTTTTTTTTTGGCTTGGATCTTCACAACTGGAAGCCACTACTCCATGTAGAAATGGAAACAATTATATTTAGGATCATAACTTCATCTATAGTCCTTTTGCTTAAAACGTTGATTTTCCTCAAGTTATTAATCAATAGGAATATAGGATGATAATAACATTATCATAAGAATAATTGACTAATAATAAAAATATAATTGCATAATTATTCAATTTCCTACTATATTAAATTCTACCTCCAAATGATAAGCCAATCTATTTTCATTTGCAGTCTTCACTATCATCAATCTAACCCTATTCAGTTTCATATCTAATCTGGACTTACTGAAGTACCCTTCCAATATCACTTCTTCAACTTCTGCACACCTGCAACTTACTCTCCATAGAGAAACTTTTATGATTTTCAAAAAAGTTCTATTTCAGAAAATATCATACTTGAGCAAAATGGTTTAATAACTTTCTCTTATATGTACATTAAAATCTATACTCTTTGAAATGGCCCACAAGACCCTAGTTTTCTAATCTTATGTTGTTTCACTTTCCCCCTTCATTGATTTCAGCTTCCTTTAAACTTTCCATGATAAGAATTTCTTTCCTGTAGTGACAGCATCAAGACTGTAGAAGGAGATCTCTACTGTCATCCACACAGAATATTGATATTGGCAGTCATCCAGGGATGAATGTAAGTTTCTGGGAGTCCGGTGGAGAAGTTTTATCCCACCATTGGAGCAAATCATTCCAAGAACAGATTCATTGAAGAGGGTAAGAAAACAATTTCACTTTGCCTGTGTCATTCCTTCAACAGGGCATTATGGACCAGTTCCAGGAAAGTTCCTTGTAAGAACTTCTTCTTTAGGAGAACTGTAATTTCTCCTACAGTGGAAAGTGAAATCTTATGAGTACTTGGTTTCCCCAGCAATAAGGGATGTCCACTTCTTTCTCACCTTTCCCAGATTACTGAGGTGATCTGCAAAGCTAAGGAGATAGGAGAGGCTGGGATAATCACCAGGCCTTAGAACTTATCAAAGCAAGGCTAGTAACCACTCTGTGGTTCTTCCTTCTAAACAATTTCTGGACTCCATTAGGAAGCCTGCCCACCATCTTCTTGGGACAACTCATCAGAAGACTGCTCTGTGAGGCCATAGACTCCCCCAATGCTTTGTGCTCCTTTACTAAACCCTGCTGCTCCTTCTCCCTGGCCCACAGAGCTGTCTCCAGCTGTACACTCCCATGGAGAATAAGAGTAAGTAAGTGCAGAAACCTGACCCATATCTGTGGGACTGGGATAAGACTCACAAACTTGAACATTTCAGGACTCTACACTAGGGAAAACAAATTGGAGACCCTCAACACACAGCTTCCATTGTGGAATCAAAAGAAGGCATACAACCTGAAGAAATCCCCCTAAAGAGGGAAAAAGCAATGTGGAACAGACATATCCATAAGAAAGGTCTGAGAAAGTCTCAGATTTTCTAGTCAGACTGAGAGGAGAAAGCATTTCTGTCCCAAAGCCAGTCAGTAACGATTGTGTGAGGTAACTGATGCTTTATGTGCAAACACCAACACAAGCCTTTAAGGAACATAAAAAATTAAGGAAACATGACATCACCAAAGGAACACAATAACTTTCCAGCAACAAATTACAAAGAAATACAGATCTATGAATTCCCTGAGAAGAATTTTAAATAATATTTAAAGGAAGCTAAGAGAGCTGTGAGAGAACACAGACAATGAAATACAGCTCAGTGAAATCAAGAATACAATACATGAACAAAATGAAACATTCAACACAGACAGAAATCATAAAAAGAAGCAAAAATGAAACAGGAAAAATTATAGACCATATTTTTCTAAAAATAACACAACAATGAAAAGAAACAAACAACATACCCCAGAAATCCTGGAGCTAAAGAATGCAATGAATGGAATGAAAAATGAATGCAGAGCCTCAAGAGCAGACTCAGTGAAGCAGAAAAAAGAATCTGTGAGCTCAAAGACAAGTCATTGGAAATTATCTAGTCAGAAGACAAAAAGGGAAAAAGTCTAAAAAAGAGTGCTGGAGGCTTATGTGAAGAACGGGACACCTTAAAGTTAAACAATACTTGCATTATTGGATTCTCAGCAGGAGAAGAGAGGGACCAAGGTGCAGAAAGCTTAATTTAAGAAATAATAGCTAAAACTTCACAAGCTGGGGGAGGAATATGGACTTCCAGGTACATGAAACTCAGAGGTTCCCACACAGAATCACCAAAGAGAAGACTTAACCAAGACATATGATAATCAAATTCTCAATAGTTAAGAACAAAGAGCAAAGGGAGAAAAATACCAAACCAGCAAGAGAGAAAAAAACAACTCACTTCATACAAGGGAACTCCCCATAGGGATACTATTAAATTCCTCAGCAGAAACTTTGCAGACCAGGACAGATTTGGTTGGTATATTAAAAGTTCCAAAAGAAAAAAACCTATGATCCTGAAATATTTTATGTGAAAATGATGTCCTTCAGAAATAAAGGAATGATACTTTGCCATACGAACAAAAGCTGAAATGGTAGAAAACTCAGACCAATATCTCTGATGAATATAGATGTCAATTTTTTTCAACAAGACATTAGCAAACCAAATTCAACAGCACAAAAAAGGGACCATACACTGTGATCAAATAAGATTTATCTCTGGGATTCAAGGATGGGTCAACATACATAAATCACTATTATGATACACAATATTGACAGAATGAAAAATAAAACTCATATGAGCATATTATAGACACAAAAATTTTGAAAAATATATAACATCTTTTCATGATAAAAGTGCTTAACAAGTTAGGAATAAAAAGAGCATGACTCAACATGATAAAGGCAATCTATGCAAACCCACAGCTAACATCATACATAACAGTGAAAGTGATAGCTTTTCCTCTGGGATTTCATCAGGAATAACACATGTGCTCTATTCAATACTGTACTAGAAGTCCTGGCTAGAGCAATCAGTCAAGACAAGGAAATAAAAGGCACCCAAATTGGAAAGAAAGAAGTAAAATTGCATTTCTTTGCAGATGATATTATCTTTTATATAGGAAATTATAAAGACTACCAAAAAGTTTTTAGAAGTGACCAGTGAATTCAGTGTATTTGCAGAGTACAAGTCAATGTACAGAAATGGGTTGTATTTCTATACACTAACAACAGAACATCTCAAAAAAGAACAAAGAAAACAACTCCATCCAAAATAGCATCAAAAAGAATAAATGTTTAGGAATTTACCTTGGATGTGAAAGTTCTGTACACCAAAAATTATAAGACTTATTTGAAATAAACGGAAGAAGACACAGAAAGTTGGAATGATTCCCATATTCATGGATTAGTAGAATTAATATTGTTAAAATATCCATACTATCCAAAGTCTTCTGTATTCAATACAATTAATGTAAAAATTCCAAGGCATCTTCACAAAAATAAGAAAAACAATCCTAATATTTATATGGAGCCACAAAATAATTGCCAAAGTAATCCTGAGAAAGAAGGACAAAGCTAGAAGGCTCACACTTCCTGACTTCAAATTATGTTACAAAGCTATAGTAATCAAAACAGTATGACACTGACATAAAATATGCATGTAGACCAATGGAACAGAATTGAGAGTTTAAAACAAAAAAAGCATTGACTATAAGGTTAACTCATATTTTATATGGGATCCAATAACACTAAATGGGGAAATGATAGTTTCTTTTATAAATGGGGTTAGAAAACTGGATAACCACATGCCAAATAATTAAACTACATCACTCACAAAATTTAGCATGCAATTGATAGAGACTTAAACATAACAAAAACTGAAAGCATTCATAGAAGAATAGATAGGAGAAATGTTCTTTGACTTTGGTCTTGGCATTGATTTTTTTTGATTGACACCAGAAGCACAGCAACCACAGCAAAAATAAACAAGTGGGACTATATCAAACTAATAAGTTCTACACAGGAAGAATAAAAATAAACAAAATAAAAGGCAACCTACAGAATGGGAGAAAATATTTGCAAATCATATATCTGATAAGGCATTAATATCGAAACTACATAAAGAACTCTATACTTAATAGTTTAAAAAATCTGTTTTAAAATTAAATACAAAGAAAGCATATTAAAAGCAGCAAGGGAAAAACAACAAATAACACACAAGGGAATCCCCATAAGGTTAACAGCTGATCTCTCAGCAGGAACCCTACAAGCCAGAAGGGAGTGGCAGGACATACTGAAAGTGATGAAGGAGAAAAACCTGCAACCAAGACTACTCTACCCAGCAAGGATCTCATTCAGATTTGATGGAGAAATTAAAACCTTTACAGACAAGCAAAAGCTGAGAGAGTTCAGCAGTTTAAAAAAAAAAAAATCTGTTTTAAAATGGGTAGACACATTGAATAATTTTCCCAAAGAATACATATTATAAATCACCAAGAGGTATGTGAAGATGTGCTCAACATTTCTAACCATCACAGAAATGCAAACCAAAGCCACAATGATCTATCACCTCACATCTGTTAGAATAGCTATTATCAAGTACAAGACACAAGAAGTATTTGTGACCATATGGACAAAAGAGAACTCTAGTGTACTATTTGGGGGAATGTAAATTAGTACAGCTACTATGGAAAACAGTATGGAGGTTTTGTGAAAAAAAAAAAAAATAGAGCTACACATATTTAGCAATTCCCCTTCTGGGTACATATCCAATGGAAATGGAAACAGGATCTTACAGCGATATCTGCACTCATGTTCATTTTAGCATTAATAACTACAGACAAGATATAGAAATAATCTAAGTGTCCATCAATAGATGAATGGGCAAACTGATGTGATATATGTATACAATAGAAGATTAGTTAGCTATGAGAAAGAAGGAAATCTTTCCATCTGCCACAGCATAGATGGACATTGTGGGCATAATGCTAAGTGAAATAAGTTTGACAGAGAAAGACATACTGTATGATATCACTTATATGTGGAATCTAAAGAAGCCAAACTTATAGAAACGGAGAATAGAATTGTGGTTTCTAGAAGGTAGGGGTTAAAGTGAAGGGAGAGATGATGGTAAAAGTGCACAAACATAAAATTATAAGACGAATGAGTTCTGGGGACCTAATGTACTGCATGGTGATTATTGTTAATAATATTGTATTACACTTGAAAGTTGCTAAGTGAAAACATTTTCAATATTTTCACCACAAAAGCAAAGAATGGTAATTATGTGGTGTCTCAAAGATGTTATTTAATGCTAAGGCAGTAATTATTTCTAATATAAAAGCATTTCAAGTCACCTCAAATTTATACTATGTTGCATGTTGATTATATCTCAATAAATGTTTGGATATCATTAAAAATTTCTTGTATTAATGATTCTGCTGAGTTATATTTGTTATGAACCACAAAAGGGATAAATAACTTTGACCCACAGCCAATGAATTCATCCATTATCAGTATTGCTCTCTCAATGTTATTAGATGTTTCCTGGCTTGGATGTTAACCATTTGTACTTTAGTAGGAAAAAACTAAAAGTGTTTATTTTGTTCTCTTAGTCTTAGGAAGTCTGGAAAAATAAGAGAGTGGGCTTTCTCTTGGATTTGAGTTCAGTGAGTCACTAAATTTTTACATTACAAAAATTCCATTCTTGTTGCAAAGCTTCCTCCGGTTCTGCTTCAATTTGTTTATTCAGAGATTTTTCCAAGTCATTTAAATTTCTTAGTAATTAAGTCAGTTAAGGTATTGACTCCATTTTTGTCCATGATGGTATAACTGGAACCAGACTAACCCTCTGCCATGAGCAAATAGAAAACTGGACAAATTATACGTAACACTATTTTCAGTTATGAATATCAGGCATCACAGAAACATGACAACTAAGAGAAGGGAAGCTAATGAGGTGAACCCTAAGATCACTATAGCTTTCTGACTATAGCCACTTTTGAGATTACATTGCCAAAAACAGAATCAATAGCAGAAACTGGGGGTATCAATGAGTGAAGAAAAAGAAATGAGAACTTGAGGAGAATTGACATCTGGGAAAGGAACTGCCATAAATTGGAAATTCAAAATGCTCTACACTGTTTTCTACTGAAAAACTAAGGTACTCAGTTTGTGTTGATGCTGAAGTCAATTTTCACCCGTGGCCTTAAAATATCTTGATTTTTATACCACTTTTATACCTCTCAGTCTTAGGAACCAATAAAATTGCTAAAATTCTGGGTCAATGAAATGTGACCTTTTTGCAGAGTCCATGTAGATAATAAGATAAAATCATTTCCAGTATTATCTAACTATTTCTGTCAGGGTAAATAGCCAGTGTGAAAGGGATCCAATTTAGGAAATTGGCCTCAGTGTCAAGTTGGTCTACTCTAGCAATGATGCCCTATCAGGAACTCAATGTTTAATTCTCTTCCAAACAGATATGATCCTTTTGACACTCAGGGAGTAGTTACATGAGCCTCAGTAAATAGGATCCCATACACTGGGGCCCATGCATAGCTTTACTCTCTGTCACCATAGTCACTTTGTTAATTTGTTCTAGGAGTCAGAACTGGGGTGGATGATGATAAAAGCGGTCTGATGTGACCCGGCTGGGTAATTTTGCCTACTTAATTGCTTAATGCCAATTCTATGATGGTTGGTCTCAGGTGAGAAATACCATGATGTCCCATGGTTGAGTGTTCCATATTTAACAGGGTCCCATAACATGTCAGGAGTTGTTTTTCCAAAAACACATAATTCTTCAGTCCAGATGACTTTATATTGCTGTGTTGTGATTCTTCTGTTAAGCTTGGCAGAGATTCCGTACAGTGTCTTCTCTCACAGCTGATGTATTTAATACTATAAGGTCTACCTAATATTACAGACTATTACAGGCTGGACCTACTGCAGAATTCTTTCCTGCTCTGGGTCCATTCAGAACTGATAGTCTTTTGAGTTATCTGGCCTATGAGCCACAGAATGGAAAAATATGCTTCCCCTAATTCCTGAAAAGGCATACAATATCTATTATTTTTCTTTGCAGAAAAAAGGCAAAATGCAAAATCTATCCTCTTTTGGAAATGATAACCTTAAATATCCCTGATCACTGGATCTCAATTAATTTTACTGATGTGGAAGATCACACTTGAATATTCATAGGGTTTTTCTCCCCCTTTCTAAAGCTCATGTGTCTTACACAGTTGCCCAACATACTAACCACTTTTTGCTCATCTTTCTGATTTGCAGTGTTGTCAACATAGCTGGTTAGTACAATTTTCTGAAGGATATCCAGATAATTCATATCTCATTGGCCTATATTATGAGGGAAGAGAAGAAAGTTTATTTTATATAGTCTTCAGGCAAAGTCCATAGTAAATTATTACTGAACTTGGTTGATATGTATTATATTGAATAATTTTTTGACCTCATGGGCAAATTATTGGCAAGCATACTGAAGATAGACTTTTTGGAAATGAAAGAAAGAGACTTTTTTTTAAATGGAGAATTTGGCAGAATTTCAAAATAAAATCACTGTCAGAACTCCCCAAAATTGACCCTGTATGGTTAGAGAAGAAAGAGAGGGAATACTTTTTTTTGAGACCTTTCTATTAAAATTCAACATGTTGTCTTCATGTTTACTGCAGATTTCAGGCTGACACTAGTTAATAAGAAGCCTAAGTACTTATGCTTGGTACAGTGATCACAATACAGTTTGTGAGAAGACCAGGGGAAGTTATGGAGTAAAAGAAAAGGAAGAAATGAGAAAACTCACCGAGTTTCTGATTATATGTAGAATTCATCCTCACAGCAGATAGTATTTCAGAGAAATGCATTTTTCCCTCAAAGAATCTGCAGTGTAGTCTAAGAAGTTTGCTTATTTCCAAATGTGTTTATTGTAAGTAAAATTAATGTAGGAAAGAATTTTTTAAAAAATTAAGTTACTTTTAAAAAGTGGGTATTAAATTCCAATCATTTACTTTTGCTCCATCATACTATTAACCATGCTAACATATGATAATTAGCTAGTTTTCTGAAGCCACAAAGTGTTACAATACAAATGAAGTACTATCATTATTAATATCCAAATGAAAGACAATCTTCAAATCAAAGACAAAAAATAGTGTTTTGTATTCTAAGAGAGACAAAGTCCAGTGTGTCATATGAAAGGAAAGTGATGGTGTAAAACGTGCTTAATAGCAGAGTAGAAACCCTAACAGTCTCCTGACCTTCCTGATTGGAAGGGAAACTCTGAGTAGAGAGAGTATGCTCTACACTACTTCTTGTAAAGTTCCTTTAGATAATATGTAATAATTCTTACATGCTGGACCCAAAATGATGTTAGATATTTAGGAAATATTCAATATGATCAGTACTGAAAATTGTTAATCATTACGTTCCTAAGCCCTCAAGCAGCATCTCAATTTGTTGAGCTGAAAGCAATGAATGAAGTAAAACACTAAGTCTTTAATGGTAGCAACTTCCATGTGTTTATTTGTTTATCATCTCTTTTTAAAGAATAGATTATTTTAAACCTTAATTCTAAATCATGTGGCACATTTTGGGGGTGAGTCTTTGATCTTTGACTTGATAAGCTAAGGAATGGATAAGAACCCAGGAGAGTAGGAGAGGAATCTGTTTAAATCAGTGGCTGGATTAATTCAGATGGAGCTTATCAAGGTTTCCAGCCCAACTGTTAAAAAAACAAAAAAAGCCCCACTACTCTTTCTTTTTCTTCTTTGCAGTTTTACCAAACTTCCAGTAACAAAACAGGCAACATTTAGTGACCAGGAATATAAAAGTTGCCATGCATGCTAGCAGGAACCCAATCACATCCAAAGAATTGTACTGGTACCAGGTGAGGTTGTGGATGGCTGGCCGAAGGTGTTTGGCTCCTTTGTGGCGCATGATAAACTCAATCCAGAAGACTGCTCGGTCCAGGGGCTTCATAGGCTGATCATGGTGAATTCTTGATAACTTCATAGCATTCTCTTTATAGCTAAGGATTGAATAAATATGTAGATACTCACTTGAAAAATTTGTTAAGGACATGAAATACCTAAAATTTTTATATATTATCAAAGGTATATTACATAATTATTAATACATTATTTCATAAATATATCACTAAGGTCACAGAATGCACTTGAAAGTTTGTTTCCTCGAGATATTTCTAGATAAGGTGGTCTATCAGCTGGAATTCATTGGATGTTTCATAGTCTTAGTAATGATTGGAGGTAGGGGAAAAAATAATTTCTAATTGGAAGTAGAATTTTAAAAGTTCAGAAATAGGAATGTAGAATATGTAGGTTGAGAATATAGAATTTGATCTCATTTGCTGAGTATGGTATTGGGAACATGATAGTGACAGGAAGCAGCATTGAGGGGTAGGTCTATGAGAAAGGAACCCCTTCCCCTTCCCCCTCAACCTTCCCCAGGTTCTGTCTGGAGTGTTAGTGTTAACAAGAAGCTAGTCTTCAACAGTAGCAAGAAAGATTTCAGTCTGTGATCTTCATGGCCATGATATTTCAATTGAAAACAAAAAGCTTAATATGACCCTATGGGCAAGAAGTAGGGCCTGAGATTGAGTAGATGCTGGAAACTTTGCTTCAAGCAACAGAGGGATGCAAGTGCAGTGGTGAGAGGGAAAAATGGCAATAACTAGAACACTAACCCTTCTAATTTTAGTCAAGGAACAGAAGACCAGTCCCTGGTTTTGGTTTAAGTTTTTGAACGGCTGACTTAGAAAAAGGATTTCCTTGGGTTTGTGAAGGACATGAAGAAGGGAGGTTATTCTCCCACACTGAAGTGCAGTCACCATTGATGGAGAATACAGAACATTAAATTATAGAAAATAGTGGAACAGCATGTAGAAAGTTCTGAGGAAGATAATTGTGGCTAAAAAAAGAAAAAATTATACAAAGTCCTGTTGCTCTTTGGTTAAAAAAAAAATATACTACAGGCCTTTCTTAATACACAAGAATTTAAGGAGTAAATACCTCTGGATATATCTCAGGAAAACAAGGAAACAACAACAACAAAAGCTCCAAGACACAGAAACAAAATATTTGTCAGATAAAAAAATAATAAAATCGTTCAGGAATAGAAATACTGTAATAAAACATGAATTACATCAAGTCCATATAAACACCAAACTAATGCTAAACAATGTTGGAAATGTGGTCATGGACAAGATGCGTATGTTGTAAGCTTTGATAATGTTGTAATGATAATGCAGCTAACAGAAATTAACATGTGATGTTTAAGAGACATGGACTGGAAGTTGAGAATTGACTTCAAGTAAAAGTCATTCTATACTGACCAAAATTGGAAATATTTACAAAATAATTATTCTAATCTCTACTGTCAAAATTTGTTCATAGATTTATATGAAATTTTTAGTAAGAATTTATCTGATATTAAAGAAATATTTATCCAAAGCCTGGCAATACTCTTAATTTTAATGTTTTTTCCTCACAGAGTATATTTATTTGATTTTTATGAGAAAGAATAACATAATAAATATAATCATTCATCATTAGGAATTTATTTATCTATGATTACAGCTAATCTTCATGTTGTACAAAGTTCCCCACAATTTATTCACTGAAGTAAGTTTCAATTTACTGAAAGTTTGTAATTTTGTATAACATCTCTTCATTCCTCCAACTCCTAGCTCCTGGTAACCACCACTCTAGTATCTGTTTCTGTGCGTTTCACTTTTTATATACAAATATAAGTGCTATCATACAGTATTTTTCCTTCTCTGACTTATTTCATTTAGCATGATGCCATATTATCACAAATGGAAAGATTTCCTATTTTCTCTTTGCTGAATAATATTCCTTTATATACATATACCACATATTCTTTATCCTTTCATCCACTGACAGAAACTTAGGTTGTTTTCATATTTGGCTATTGTGAACAAGGCTGCAATGAACATGGGAGTGAAGATATCTCTTCCATATTCTGTTTTTATTCCCTTTAGATACATACCCAGAAGTAGGATTACTGGAGAGTGTAGTAGTTCTATTTTTAATCTTTTGAGGAGCCTCCATACTTCTTTTTTATAGTCACTGCACCATTTGCATTCCCACCAAGAGTGCACTAGAGTTCCCCATTCTTCATATCCTCACCAACACTTGTTATAACTTGTCTTTATTTTTTTTTAAATAGATCTTTACTGGAGTATAATTGCTTCACAATCTATGTTACTTTCTTTTGTACAACAAAGTGAATCAGCCAAATGCATACATATATCCCCATATCCCCTCCGTCTTGAGCCTCCCTCCCACCCTCCCTATCCCACCCCTCTAGGTCATCGCAAAGCACCAAGCTGATCACCCTGTGCTATGCTGCTGCTTCCTACTAGCTAATTATTTTACATTTCATAGTGTATATATGTCGCTGCTACTCTAACTTCACCCCAGCTTCCCCCTTCCCCACCGTGTCCTCAAGTTCATTCTCTATGTCTACATCTTTATTCCTGCCCTGCCACTAGGTTCATCAGTACCATTTTTTTAAATTCCATATATATGCGTTAGCATATGGTATTTGTTTTTCTCTTTCTGACTTATTTCACTCTGTGTGACAGATTCTAGGTCCAACCACCTCACTACATATAACTCAATTTTTTTTATGGCTGAGTAATATTCCATTGTATATATGTGCCACATCTTCTTTATCCATTCATCTGTCAATGGGCATTTAGGTTGCTTCCATGTCCTGGCTATTGTAAATAGTGCTGCAATGAATATTGTGGTACATATCTCTTTTTGAATTATGGTTTTCTCAGGGTATATGCCCAGGAGTGGCATTGCTGGGTCATATAGTAGTTCTATTTTTAGTTTTTAAAGGCATCTCCATACTATTCTCCATAGTGGTTGTATCAATTTACATTCCCATCAACAGTGCAAGAGGGTTCCCTTTTCACCACACCCTTTCCAGCGTTCATTGTTTCTAGATTTTCTGATAATGGCCATTATGACCAGTGTGAGGTGATACTTCATTGTAGTTTTGATTTTATCTCTAATAATTAGTGATGTCGAGCATCTTTTCATGTGTTTGTTGGCAATCTGTATGTCTTCTTTGGTGAAATGTCTATTTAGGTCTTCTGCCCATTTTTTAATTGGATTCTTTTTTGTTTTTTTTTTTTTTTGATATTGAGCTCCATGAGCTGTTTGTACATTTTGGAGATTAATCCTTTGTCCATTGCTTCATTTGCAAATATTTTCTCACATTCTGAAGGTTGTCCTTATGATCATACACCATGATCAAGTGGGATTTATCCCAGGGATGCAAGGATTCTTCAGTATATGCACATCAATCAATGTGATACACCATATTAACAAATTAAGGAATAAAAACCATATGATCATCTCCATAGATGCAGTAAAAGCTTTTGTTCAATACCCATTTATGAGAAAAACTCTCCAGAAAATGGGCATAGAGGGAACCTACTCAACGTAATAAAGGCCATATATGACAAACCCACAGCAAACATCACACTCAATGGTGAAAAACTGAAAGCGTTTCCTCTAAGATCAGGAACAAGACAAGGATGTCCACTCTCACCACTCTTATTCAGCATAGTTTTGGAGGTCCTAGCCACAGAAATCAGAGAAGAAAAAGACATAAGAGGAATACAAATTGGAAAAGAAGAAGTAAAACTGTCACTGTTTGCATATGACATGATACTATATATAGAAAATCCTATAGATGCCACCAGAAAACTACTAGAACTAATCAATGAATTTGGTAAGGTTGCAGGATACAAAATTAATGCACAGAAACCTCTGGCATTCCTATATTCTAACAACGAAAAATCAGAAAGAGAAATTAAGGAAACAATCCCATTTACCATTGCAACAAAAAGAATAAAATACCTAGGAATAAACCTACCTAAGGAGGTGAAAGACTTTTACTCAGAAAACTATAAAACTCTGATGAAAGAAATCAAAGACGACATAAACAGATGGAGAAATATACCATGTTCTTGGATTGGATGAATCAGTATTGTGAAAATGACTATACTACCCAAAGCAATCTACAGATTCAATGCAATCCTTATCAAACTAATGGCATTCTTCACAGAATTAGAACAAAAATTTTTACAATTTGTATGGAAACACAAAAGACCCCGAATAGCCAAAGCAATTTTCAGAAAGAAAAACGGAGCTGGAGGAATCAGGTTCCCAGACTTCCAACTATACTACAAAGCTACAGTAATCAAGACAGTATGGTACTGGCACAAAAACAGAAATATAGGTCAATGGTACAGGATAGAAAGCCCAGAGATAGACCCATGCACATATGGTCACCTAATTTATGACAAAGGAGGCAAGAACATACAATGGAGAAAAGACAGTCTCTTCAATAAATGGTGCTGGGAAAACTGGACAGCTACATGTAAAAGAATGAAATTAGAACACTACCTAACACCATACACAAAAATAAACTTCAAGTGGATTAAAGACCAGACACTCAAATGTAAGACCAGACACTATAAAATTCTTAGAGGAAAACGTAGGAACTCCTTGACATAAACTGCAGCAAGATCTTTTTTGACCCACCTCCTAGAGTAATGAAAATAAAAACAAAAATAAACAAATGGGACCTAATGAAACTTAAAAGCTTTTGCACAGCAAAGGAAACAATAAACAAGATGAAAAGACAATATACCTTGTCTTTTGATGGTGGCCATTCTACCAGGTGTGAGATGATACTTTATTAAGGTTTGGATTTGCATTTCCTGATGCTTAGTGACATCAAACTGCTTTTCATGTACGTGTTAGCCATTTGTGTGTCTTCTTTGGACAAGTATCTATTCAGTAACTCTGCTTTATAAGAGTTCTTTATATGTTTTGTATATTAACCTCTTATCAGATATGTACTTTGCAAGTATTTTCTTCCATTTTGCCAGTTGCTTTTCATTTTGTGGATCATTTATTTTGCTGTGCAGAAGCTTTTAAGTTTGATGTAGTCCCACTTGTTGATTTTTGCATTTGTTCATTGTGTTGTTTGTGTCATACCTAAAATATTGTTGGCAAAACCCTTGTCAAGGAATTTTTCCCCTTTGTTTTCTTCTGGGAGTTTCATGGTTTCAGGTTATGTTTTAGTATTTAATCCATTTCTAGTCAATGATTCTAAGTGATGGAACATGGAGTTCCAAATTTCATTCTTCTGCATATGATTATCAATTTACCCCAGTACCATTTAATGAAGAGACAACCATTTTCCTATTGATTATTCTTGGCTCTTTTTTCAAATATTATTCAACTTTGTATATGAAGGTTTGTTTCAGTGCTCTCAATCCTGTCCTTTGGTCTATGTGTCTATTTTTATGCCAATACCATACTTTTAAATTTACTATAGCTTTGCAGTATAGTTTGAAGTAGGAAGTGGGATGCCTTCAGCTTCATTCTTCTTTCTCAGGACTTCTTTGGCTATTTGAGATATTTTGTGGCTTCATACAAATTTAGGATTGGTTTTTCTACTTCTGTGCCCCAAAAGGCTTTAGAAGCTGGTCACTCAGTTCACTCTTCCCTTCCTGGTGAGGAACTCTTTCTAGCTGGGAATTTCTCTGTTGGTGCTGAGCAATGCTGGCCTGGGGATGGGATGATGCAGGCATAAATAAGCTGTCTTCACTGTTATTGTGTGATTATTCTTAGAGTTTTTTTGTTCCACATTGTTGCTAAAATTTCTTAAGTGAACTTTAGAGCTCTCCCAGAGATATTTTTGTTCATGGATAGTGTCTAATTGTTGATCTTTGTCAGGGGACAGGGAGGCTGGGGTCTTCTATGTCTCCACTTGGAGCTCTCAATTTTACTTCATTGACTTTCTCTTGAAATATTTTTAATTAAAAAGTAACATGATCCCATTTTTATAAGATTATTTTTCTTTTCTATTTATAAATTAGCACAAGGAAATAGCTGAGGTAATATTTCTACTGGTAATTGGTTATAGCTACATGAGGAGAGTTAAGTGGGTTTTCATTTTTATCTCCTTATGTTTTTGTCATATTGCCTGAATTCTTTATAATGGTAATATCTGCAATTTTAAAGAAATAAACAACAAACACTATTAATAAAAATAATAATATTTAGTAATAGCTTAGTTTATTTAAATAAATTTAGTATTTCTTTGAGATTGTACGTTGTTGCCCAGTAATCTATTGCCCAGGTGAATCTAAATGCATTCATAAAATTTGAAAGGTATAAGTCAATCATATTTAATGTTAGCCAGCCCCTGGTGATTATGTAAAAGTAATCAATTTAGTAGAATAAAACAATTTACTCCTTTTAAAATACTGATGCTTCTCAGAAAAGAATATATTCTATACTCACGAAGGGCTGTTAATAACTGCTTTCAAAGTGTTAAGCAGATCGGAACTTGTCATTCTTTGCAAGTCTACTTCAACAGCTGCCCCTTTGGCTTTTATACGAGCAATATTATCATGCTGATCACCAAACAGAGGAATTCCCACCATAGGGACCCCATGGTAAATAGCTTCATAGATCCCATTGGTTCCACAGTGAGTAATAAAAGCTCTGGTTTGGGGATGACCTAAAAAGAAAAAAATATATATCATTATTCTATGTTGTAAGAGTTTCAGAAACAGAAAATCATGACACCTGTATAAATAATTCAATTATGGAGCATCTTCTATATAATTCTGTGCCATGAGGCCATATGTAAATGCCTATAAACTCTAAAGAAAGCAGCAATTGATTATTCCATGCTAAGCAGCAACTAGTGATTCCAGCAATTAAGTGATCCCATAAGCCTCTGAAAGGTTTGCACAGAGTTAAATGATGAAAAATACTTGCCTTTGGACAAGTTTTTGGGGTGAGAATTCTTTAGTAAACAGGACTGAGGGATTTAAGAAAAAAACGCTTCTGTGGTTGGGGAAGGGGGGTAATATGTGCAGGGTTTCAATGTGAGAATGGCTAGAAAGATAGATGAGGGCAAGGTCATGAGGTTTCTGTTTAGGAAAATGGAATTTGCCCTTTATTTTGAGTAATATGGAACCATTTATAACATTATAGTTGGTGAAATGGTTTATCAGATTTTTTTCAAATAGTTATAGTGAGAAAAAGAGAAGAGAGGTGGGAGAAGATGGATACAGAGTCAGGATGATGCTGAAATATTGTATACAAAAGTTAATGAGAGCCTGATCTAAAGGTACTTTCCTTGACTCTGATTCTGAGGAGGGAGATTGTATCATAAATGTGAGAATTATAAATTCCATATTTATGTTAGAACTTAACAAAGATTCTATCCTTGACCAAAGTCTAGTCAAACTCCTCTGAACTCTTTTCTCAACTAGGCCCTGATTTGGGGGTTTATTTGTTTATCTCTGCATTGCCCAATTTTAGCAAGCATCCTACTAAGTCAGTTTAGCGAGACTCTTCCAACCTGATATCTGATCACCCTATGTAGTTGTTGCTTCATACTTCACCATCCTCCAAGTGATGTTTGCCTTCAGCAAGAATCTGATTCAGGCAGTTTTGCCAGGGTACCCACTTGGCCCTGAGGTTTCCTTAGTAATCTTCCATCCAGTGACACCCCCTACTCTGAACTTTGCCTACAAATTTCCCACTTTTCCTTTTTGCACTCAGAGTTGAGCCCAATCTCTCTGACTTACTGTAGAAGTCTATTGCAGTAGTAGCTATATGTATCATGATGGTTTTGAATAATGTGTGCCTTACAGTCTTTATCAAGTGCCATTTATAATTTTTTCTTTAGCAAGCTCCACAAGAAATGTGAAGAAGACATCAAGGGTTTTTTGTTGTTGTTGTTTATTCCTTATTTTGAATAGAAATTTGTTGGATTTATTTGTTATTGAGTAATCATTCAGATTATCTCTCATTCACTTCCATTTAATTTTGCTTCTCTTTGGTCTTACCAAGAAGATCATTCTGTGGAATCCACTCATATAGTCGGGTATTGGCTCCTAAAGTTTCTGGTTTCTTTCCTGTGTATCTCCATAGGACCTGTTAAGATAAATGCCTTTACTCTAGAAAATTTTTAGAATCACATCCTATCAGAAGGAAGCAACTGACTTAGAATTAATCTGGTTCGGTGCCTCCAGGTAATACACAAGCAAACTGAGGCCTGAAGTGATTAAGTAATGAATGTTTTTAAACCATTGACGCTATAACCATGTTTACAAATGCTTGTAATAATCCTAATCGATAGGCTATCATCATCAGGTTAATTCTTACTTAGGAGATGAAGAAAAAAGATAACCTGTACCTGAAATAATTACATAGTGGTGTTACTAAGCCATTCTGGTAAAGAGGATTTTTGAAACAGTTTTCAGAGGCAAAGGGGAGAGATGTTATTTACCTCACTAAGAAACTGTTAGTGCTTTGACCTTCGTTATATATATATATATGTATGTGTGTGTGTGTATATATATATATATATATATATATACACACACACACATTAATATAGAATCAAGCATTGCCTTTTTTAATTATAGTAAAATATACATAATGATATTTATCATTTTAAAGTATTGTAAGTATAGAATTTGGTGGCATTAAATACATCTATAATGTTTGTAACCATAAGCACTATCTATACCCCAGATATTTTCACCTTCCCTAACATAGACTCTGTACCATTAAGCAATAACTAACTCCCTATTTCCTCCACTCCCTAGCCCCTGGTAAAGTACATTCTACTTCATGTCTCTTTGAATTTGACTACTCTAGACATGTGATATAAGTGGAATCATACAGTATTTGCCCTTTTCCCACTTAACATTATTTCACTTAGCATTGTCTTCAAGGTCATGCATGTTGTACCATGCCAGAATTTCCTTTCTTTTTAAGGCTGAATAATATTCTGTTTTGTGTGTATATCACATTTTCTTTATCCACTCATTTACTATTGTGAATAATGTTGCTGTGAACATTGGTGTGCAAGTATTTGTTTGAGCCCCGATTTCAATTCTTTTGGCTATATAGCCAGGATTAGAATTATTGGGTTATATGATAGCTCCGTGTTTAATTTTCTGACGAACCACAAAAATGTTTTCCAGAGAAGATGCATGATTTTGCTCTCCTACTAGCAGTGCAGGAGGTCTCATTTCTCCATTAACACTTGTATTTTTTTTTTTTAATAATAGCTGTCCTATGTGAAGTGGTATCTCTTTGTTCTTTGATTTGCATTTCCCTAATGATTAACGATGTTGAGCATCTTTTCATATACTTTTTGACCACTTGTATACCTTCTTTGGAGAAATGTCTATTCAAGTACTTTCCCCTTTTTCAATTGGGTTTTTGTTGCTGTTGTTGAGCTGTAGGAGTTCTTTATGTATTGTGCATGTTAATTCCTTGTCAGCGATATGATTTGCAAAGATTTTCTCCCAATCTGTACATTGTATTTTACTTTCTTGATAGTATCTTTTGATGCACAAAAGTTCTGCATTTGATGTAGTCCAATTTATTTATTTATTTTTTAACTTTTTTTGCTTATGCTTTGGTGTTATATCTATGAAATCATGACATAATCCAATGTGATAAAGTTTTCCCTGAGAATTTTCTTGGGAAAGTGTTACAGTTTTACTGCTAAAGTTTGTCTCTGATCCATTTTCAGTTAACTTTTGCATATGGTGTAGGGTAAGGATCCAACTTCAGTCTTTTGCATGTGGATATCAAGATTTTTTCAGCATTATTTGTTGAGAAGAGACTGTCCTTTCCCCCAATTGAATGGTCTTGCACTCTTGTTGAAAATCAATTGACCATATATATGAGGATTAATTTCTGCATTTTCTTCTGTTCCATTGGGTTATATGCCTGTCCTTCTTCCAGTACAACAGTGTTAATTTACTGTAGGTATTATAGCATATTTCTAATTTCAATGTTTATAAATGTGACTCCTTTAACTTTGTTGTTTTTCAAGATTTTTTTGTCTGATTGTAGTTCTTATAGTTCCATATGAGGTTGAGGATTGGATTACTCATTTCTATAAAAAAGGCTGTTAGAGTTTTGATAGGCATTGCATTAATCTGTAGATTGCTTTGTATAGTATTGACTTCTTAACCATGTTAAGCGTTCCTATCTATGAACATGGGATGACTTTCCAAGTATTTAGGTATTCTTTAATTTCTTGCAGCAATAATGTTTTTTGGTTTTCAGCAGCAAATATTTTACTTCCTTAATTAGGTTCATTCTTAAGTATTTGTTTTGTTGTTCTTGTAAATGGAATTTTAAAAATTTCATGTTCAGTGTGTTCACTGACATTTATATAAACAAAACTGATTTTTGTATGTTAATCTTGTATTCTGCACTTTTGTTAAGTTTGGTAATTAGTTCTAGTAGCTTTTTCTGAATTCTTGAGATTTTCTATGCATAAGATCATGTCATCTGCAAATACACATTGTTTTACCTCTCTCTTTCCAATTTGGATGCCTTTCATTTCTTTTTCCTCTATAATCCCCATGCTAAAACTTCTAGTATAAGGTTATATAACAGCAGTGAAACAATACATCCTTGTATTGTTCCTGATCTTAGTTTCCACCATTGAGTATGATATTAGCTGTGGGTTTTTCAGAAATACCCTGTATAATTTTGAGGGCTTTTCCTTCTATTCCTAGTTTCTTGAGAGTTTTTATCAGCAGAGAATGTTGGATTTTCTCGACTTCCTTTTCTGTGTAAGTTGAAATGATCATTTGATAGTGTTTTTATTTCCCCTTCATTATAATCATGTAATGTATTACATTGATTTACTTTTGGTAAATCAATGAATGTAATATTTATTTACTTTGCATAAATAGCATAAATACTATTTTACTACGGTGAATACTCTTTTCAACATTCTAGCGGATCTGATCTTCAAATATTTTCTTGAGTATTTTAATATCTATATTTAGAAATGATCATGGTCCATAATTTTATTCTTGTGTGATGTCTTTATCTGGCTTTTGTAACAGGGAACATCTGGCCTCATAGAGTAATTTATTGTTTCCTTCTTTCCACATTTTTTGAATATTTGAAAAGGATTACCTTAATTATTCAATTCCTTAAACATTTGGTAGAATTTACCATTGATGTTATCTGACCCTGATTTTTCCTTTTTGGCAGGTCTTTGATTACTAATTCAGTCTCTTAATTTGATATAGGTCTGTTGAAGTAATCTGTTTCTTTTTTAGTCAGTGTAAGTAAATAGAGTTTTTCAAAGCATTTATCCACTTCTTCTAGATTGTCTAATTTTTGTTGTGCAACTTTTCATAATATCCTCTTTTATCTTCCAGTTTTATGAGATATGATTGACATACAGCACTGTGTAAGTATAATGTGTACAGCATTATGATTCTACTCACATACATTATGAAATGATTCTCACAGCAGGTATAACATTAAAGAAATTTAAAAAAAAGTTTCTTGACATGAAAACTCTTAGGATTTACTCTCTTAGCAATTTTCACATATAAAGTACAGCAGTGTTACCTAAATTTATGATGTATATTGCATCTCTAGTACTTATTTATCTTATAACTGGAAGTTTGAACCTTTTAACCACCTTCTTCCAATTGTCCCTTCCCCAATCCCCTGACTCTGATAACCACAAATCTGATCTGTTTTTCTGTGAGTTTGTTTGTTTCTTTTTTGTTTTTGAAGTAAAACTGACCTACAACACTATGATAGTATCTGTTACACAACATAGTGATTTGGTATTTCTATATGTGTCAAAATGATTATCATGATAAGTCTAGTTGAAACATGTGAAGATATTACATAGTTATTGTCCATGTTCCTCACACTGTACTTAGCAAAATAAATACAAATATATGTAAAATACTTGATTAAGTTGCTGATCTCTTAAGATTAAATGCATTTTAAACAACCTTGCCTTTTTACTTCCCTCACCACACTTACTGTTTTTGACATCATATTTTAAATCTTTTTGTTTTGTGTATCCCTTAACTAGTTATTGTGAGTATACATGATTGTATAATTTTGTCTTTTAGCCTTCCTTCTAGCTTAATACATGGCTGATTTACTGACTTTGCAGTATATTTGCCTTTACCAATGAGATTTTTCCTTTTGCAATTTTTATGTTTCTAGTTGTGGGCTTTTCTTTCTCACTTAGAGAAGTCCCCTTAACTTTTCTTGTAAACCTAGTTTGGTGGTGCTGAACTCTCTTAGCTTTTGGTTGCTTGTAAAACTTTTGAACTCTCCATCAAATCTGAATGAGAGCCTTACTGGGTAGAGTGTTCTTGGTTGTAAGTTTTCCCCTTTCATTATTTAAAATATATCCTGCCACTCCCTTCAGGCCTGCAGTGTTTCTGCTGACTAGTCAGCTTTTAGCCTTATGGGAGTTTCCTTGTACTTAACTTGTTCCTTTTTCCTTGGGCTTTTAAAATTCTCTCTTTATGTTTTATTTTTGCTGTTTCATTACAACATGTCTTGGTGTGGTCTTCTTTGGGTTCATTCTATTTGGGATTGTCTCTGCTTGGATGACCATTTCCTTTCCCAAGTTAGAGAAGTTTTCAGCTATTATGGCTTCATTACTTTTTTTTTTTTGAAGAGTTCACATATTAACAGGTTTAATGTTTTAATATAACTCCCTCACCAATTCTCTTTGTATCAAAATTTCAACTTGGGGTCTACAAGCTATGGGTGACTAATTTTCCAGTTCACAGTAATGCTAAAGATTTTTTTTTCTTTTAATCTTTATTGGAGTATAATTGCTTTACAATGGTGTGTTAGTTTCTGCTTTATAACAAAGTGAATTAGCTATACATATACATAGATACCCATATCTCCTCCCTCTTGCATCTCCCTCCCATCCTCCCTATCCCACCCTTCTAGGTGGTCACAAAGCACTGAGCTGATCTCCCTGTGCTATGTGGCTGCTTCCCACTAGCTATTTTACATTTGGTAGTGTAAATATGTCCATGCCACTCTCTCACTTCGTCCCAGCTTACCTTTCCTCCTCCCCATGTCCTCAAGTCCATTCTCTACATCTGTGTCTTTAT